TAGAAAACTGAAACAGAAGTGAAACAAGTAGTAGGAAAGAGGAGAACTAAAAAGCGATACTTCTCCTTTGCCGGTGTCCTGCACGGTGGAGTCGCACGGTAGAGTCGATGGTCTTTACACTCTTTGGTCTTCACACGAGGAGGCCGTCACGCGCCCGCTGCTGCGGTAAACTAAGCTTTTTTTATACCCGTCTAACAACATACTAAATTAATTCAGCTGGACACACTTTCCTTATTTTTTTCCACAACAAATGGCCAAGCAAGCGCAGACACTGACAAGATACGCGATACAGAATGAGACCAAATGCGATATCAGCCCGTCTCCACACAGTAAACAAAACAAGCTTTTCCTAGCAATGACAACTGCACTAAACGCTAATGAGACAAGTAAATACACTTACAAGCTGCTTTTAACTTCCGCTGATAAAGACTGCTTCTCTCAAAGAGTATTTCTCTTTTTTATTTTTGTTTTCTTCGCGTACAAAAAGTATTCTCATCGCTTCATAAAATTCAGATTGAACCACTGATGACAGATGGACTATTCTGACGATGTCTTTCATACTTTTCTGGACCTTGACAGTGTTATTTACTAGGCAGTCAATGGGACAGTCACAAGCCTCCCGGTTTTCATCCAAAATATCTTAAATTGTGTTCCGAAGACGAACGAAGTTTTTACGGGTTTGGATATTATCATTGGCCACATATAAAATGTTTTACTTTTTGGTAAGAGATAACAGAGTAGTGTGTTATTGGTGATGAAGGAAAGAAGCCAAACACTGTGTAGAATATTTAAAAAGTAAATGAAATATAAAATATGAATAAATGTGTAAACACTGTAAAATGTAACAGAATTAGTACTTTTTATGTTAACTACTTTTTTTTTCATTTTCTCTTTTACATTCTATCCCTGCTTATCCACTACAGAGTCGACCTAGAATATTTACATATTTACTGTCACAAATACATTGTTAGCCACTTTAGAAATATAAAGCAGAAAAACTGAGAAATATGCACATGCACTATAACAATCAATATACAAAATAATTTTTCAAGTGGGCAATCAATATCAAACAAATATGTTTGATCCATTTATTTTTGTCTGTATATTATTACAAAAAGGTTTAATCAGAAAAGGACAAATATTTATGCAAAGTGAGAAGAAATGAATGAATTAATAAAAACGAATAAATGAACAAATTAATAAAACCAAAAATCTGAAGCATTTAT